TACATCAGATTGCTCACCATCTTAGAGGGGAAAGGGGAGGGAGGGAGAGGATTTTGAACTCCAAATTGTAGAAAATGAATGTTAAAAATTGTTTTTACATGTAATTGGGAGAAAAGAAAATATTTAAAAATTAATTTTAAAAAAAGATTAGGTTATGAGCTACTTGAGGACAGGGACTGTTTTCTGTATTTCTTTGAATCCCTGATACTTAGTGCTTAATAAATGTTTATTGACTGACTATTGAATATAGGGGGAGTGGATGAGGTGGGTTAAGACACATGAAAGAGGAGGCTGTTGTGGGCCTGGGATGTGAGAGAAGTTTGCCCCGAGTGGATTAGGTGTCCATGCTTGGTGAGCTCACTAGTTAGAACACATAATAGACCCAACTAATGATAGGTCAAGATTACAAGTTCCATCCTGGTACAACAAGTTGAACTCTGACCCTTATTTCAGCTACCTCATAAACCTGACCAATATTGATCAAAAGGCCAGTTGAGAGGAGATTGAATGGACACAGATGGCTCAGTATAGCCCCTTAACTCAACTGACATTGATTGGGCACCTTCTGTCTGAAAGCCAGGGCAACTAGGTGGTGCCATAGTGCACAGAGGGCTGGGCCTAGAGCCAGGAAGACTCATCTTCCTAAGTTCAAATCTGGCCTCAGATACTTACTAGCTGTGTAACCCTAGGCAAGTCACTTAACACTGTTCACCTCAGTTTCCTCATCTGTAAAATGAGCTAGAGAAGGAAATGGCGAACAACTCCAGTATCTCTGCCAAGAAAACCCCAAATGGAGTCAGAAAGAGTCAGACATGACTGAAACAACTGAACAACAGTCTGCAAGCCCCTGCCCACTCCTGAGGAAGGTGAAACCCCCAAATGAAGACAGAATATAGAACTTAGTAACTAACTAAAGTGCTGAAAACCAACCAGTCCTAGCCAGCTTCTGACACCTGGACAACCTTGTTCTGCCCTGGGCCCTGACCTCTGTTTGATGGATCTCAACACCTGGTCTCAAAGTTCTCACTACCCTCCTTCAAAGCTCAGCTGAAGGATCTTTTCCTGTGTACTCCAGGTCCCTCGGAGCTCTTTCTCCTCTGAGGTCTCAGGACACTTAGAGTCTGCCCTTTAATTCTCCTCTAATTGTTTCCTGTGGGGAAGTCTCATCTTCCAACCACTGTGGAGCTCCTCCGAGGCCCAGGTCTGGGTTTCCCCTTCCCCTGAAGCTTGACTAGACCCGGGGATGTACACACCCTGCCACCTGGTTAAGGTTTGGCAATTAAGGGATAGAAGAGGCATCAGGAGGGGGAAGGGTCTCGAGTCTTTATCACATTAGAAGCTGTTAAAGGATATG